TGGATACATAAAATGCTGAATAAAGCCCAGTGCTCTGTAAAACACAGGTGCTCAAGGGAGTAAAATACCCCAGATTATCATGTACTCTCTTCTTAACATCTGTCTGCTTTGGTTCTCCAGTTGAAAGCAGGGTTGGTGGTTTTCCTGCATCACAAAGGGATTTTTTGTGGAAATATAGTCATTAATGCTTAGGRGTCACCCCATTATCATATCACCAAAGTCACAGGCAATGAAGAAATGAAAAAATTCTTCAGAGCTGTGTTTGAACATTACAAGAAATGGGGTGCAGCACCACACAGAGCAAGGACAAGCAAATTAAACCTTTCATGGTTTCATTGTGTTGGTTGTGCACTGTGAATAGTCTCAGGAAAATATTTACACCAATCTGCTAATTGCAGATGTGTTTAAGTGGACTATTAGATTGCACAGACAAATTTTTTTTATGGGTTTTCTTAATTTGTAAGTATTTGGATTTGCAGCCTTTTAAAAGACACATGACTAAATGTATAATACACAGCTATAATTTAATGTCAGAACCTTCAGGCTTTGCACCAAGCTTTGTTTTTGGAATGAACAGAAACAAATCTTAGTGATCTGACAGGTGTTTTAGCAGTTTCCTCTGCATGTGTTKACTTTTGGTTATTGTGATTATCTTAGCAGGAAAACCCTTGGCTTTCCATTTTTGGATTTACAAAGCCAGCTKCTAAAACAGCAGAGGAAGTTTAAATGGGTTACTCTCCTGGGCTATAAATATCTGTTATTTCTGTAAACATTGAAAAGAGGGTGTAGGAGTCACRGGAAAGGGTCTGTGCCTGTGAACAATAACTGGAGTATTCCAAACCTCATGTGCTTTGTGTTTCTGGGGATTTATTTAATGATCCACTCAGACTGAAGCCTAAAACCATTAAACAATTCCCYGTAACATTCCCAACACCTCTTCCATGTATAGAGAGTGTAACATTCATGGCAAGTGGAGTATTGTCAGAGTAGGATGCAGAGAGCAGAACTTTAGTCCCTTTGAGAGTTTTGTCCTTTCTTTAAGAAAAATCAGCCCTTCCCTGGTGTTGCAAACATGCTTTCATGTTTGTTTTGTATTAAGAATTTAAAGCAAATTATTTAGAAGGGTTATTCATGTGTGTTGTACTTTACACAGKCACAGGGAATTTATGTTTGGGATTGGATATGAACATTGTGGCACTCCCTAGCTATGCATAATGGATTCTGCAAATTGTCTAGTTTTTCATTGGCAAGCTGAAAAATTCTGTGCTTAAAAACCTAAATAATAGGTCTGATTTTTCTGAGGGGATTACATTCTGCTAGACATTGATAATTTTTTTCTTGCATGAATGATTTAGGACAGAAGTGGAAAGGAAATAAGCTTTTTCTTTGTATACAGTCTATCTACAGTTGAAGATTCCTTCTTTAATTGTGAGTGCAAATGAATTCCACTTAATAACACCCATGTTCTTTTTTTTTCTGGAAATGATTGATTTAAAGAAAGATCAGAGCAAAAACAGTTAGATTTGCAGAAGCCTTCAGTTCCTGCCATACCTCCGAAAAAGCCTCGGCCACCCAAAGCCAACGCTGTGAGCAGACCTGGGACTTTGCCCCCCAGACGACCAGAAAGACCAGTTGTGCCTGTGACCCATTCAAGGTATGGCTTTTCTTTTGTCCASTGATTAGTGGGAAAAGCACACGTTTAAAGAATTTAGGTTTTATGGTTGATGTCGAAATTTATTTTACTGTAAACTGTATTTAAAGGACAGCAAGAAAAAAAGAATACCTATAGTCATCTGGCTGGATCATAATTATCTTCTCCATAATACCAGTCTTAGATTGTTCATTACTAGTTCAGAACTATCACTAGTTCASTGATAAACACACTGTTACCTTCATCAATAAATTACTGGGATGTTCTTGGCTTGGGCACCAAATCAGTGCAAAAGCTTGGATGGTGCTGAGGAATAGCATCAGACAATGCACATTTCAAATACTGTCAGACTGGCTTCACTCTGCTTTCTTTGATCATTTTAGATCCAATTTTAGCAAAATAGATGTGTCTTSATAGAATGTTCTTTTAGCTCCTGTYGAGTATTTATGCTCTAATGTTGGTTGTCACTCTACAGATATTTGATGTTTTTTATCAAAGGTGTAACAGCCTTTGAGGAGCACTTGCCAACAAAACTCAGTTCTCATGTGCTGGAGCAGAGGCTGCAGAAATTAAGGTCTCACTGCAGTCCTAATCAAGTCTGGGTGGTTGTATTTTAGTCATCAGCATCTGAGTTGTGCACTATAGATTTCATTTATTCATAGTGAATAGAGTTAGATGAGAACCAAAATAAAAGCAGCACCTAAAATGGGCAAGCTTTGCATCTTGCAGAAATGCTAGAATATAGCCATGGAAATAATTTCACTATTGTACTGTTAGGGAAATTGGCTGCCATTGAACTACTGGAGTTCAAGTGTAGTTAATGGTGAATTAAATACCAGAATGGAGTGTAGGTTAGAGTGAAATGCTAGACATTGATTTCTCTCATTCCTCCACATATGGTTAAATAAACAAATGTTGTCAGTGCCAAATCTGAGGCAAATTAAAAGAAGAAAAGGGACCTGCCTTGTGCTCCCAGTTTCATTTGACTGAAATGAAATCTCTGAGAATTTACCCTTCTATCCAGGAGCTACTGCCACAGCTTCTTTTGGACTTGGCTTTGAACACACTTGCCCAGTTTCCAAAATACAGTGCACACTGCTGATCACTTGGGCACACTTGGAAATCCAAGGATTTGCTACAGCAGCAATTTTCAGATTTAGCTAAATGATGTCTTGGAAAGATCAATACATAGCCCATGTTCAGTTCACTGTGAGGCATGCAATGGAGCAGCTATWCCTTTGTTCTATCCTTTGCTTGAAATATTTCAAACACACTATAAATTTTTAGCATTTATAATTTTGGAAGGGTATTTGTTGCTCTTTTGGGTTGTTTTTTGTTTGTTTTTTTTTTTAGTACAAAATTGTATGAAGTAACCATGTATTTTTTAAGATAYTTTGATTTTTATGTTATGAAAGGGAAAACACACGTCTAAACAGTAATCTTGTTATGTTCTTAATTGTTCAAACTTTGCTGTGTCTAACACAGAAAAAATGGAAAAGACTTTCAATTGCTTGGATAATTAAGAAACTTCAAATGGAAGCAGTCACTTCAATARAGGTGTTTTGGTTTTAAATCCTTTCAGTTTAATAAGGTAGGAATTGTTTTAAGACCTGGTGGTATCCATTTCCAAATCTGAAAAACTTTCATTTCCAAATCTGAAAGCAATTAGAATAAAAATGGAACAGCAGAACTTTTGCTGACTGCTGTGATTTAATCTTGGTGGGCAGCTGAGCCCCACACAGCCACTCACTGTAGGATGAGGGTGAGAATAAGGAGGGCAAAGTGAAAAAAACTGTGGGCTGTGATAAAGACAATTTAACAGGAAAAGCAAATGATGGGCAAACAAAGCAAAGAAGTTGTTATTTCCCATGGCAGGCAGGTGTTCTGCCATCCCCAGGAAAGCCAGGCTTCATCAGGCAGCTTGGGAAGATAAATGCTGTGATTGCAAACATCAGCAGCTCCCTCCTCCCTGAGCTGTGTGCACTGAGCACAGCACYCTGTGATTTGGGACACCCTTGGGTCACTGGGGTCAGCTGTCCCAGCCCTGTCCCTCCTAACCCTCGTTCACCCCACTGCTTCACCCCTTTCACTGCTGGGTACAAGGAGCAGCAGAAAAGGCCTTGGCTCTGCTCAGTAATAGTGAAAACCCCTCTGTTATCTGTGCTGTGTTCAGCACAAATCCAAAATACAGCACCCTGTGATTTGGGACATCCCTTGGGTCACTGGGGTCAGCTGTCCCAGCTCTGTCCCTCCTAACCCTCGTTCACCCCACTGCTTCACCCCTTTCACTGCTGCAAGGGGGAGCAGAAAAGGCCTTGGCTCTGTGCAGGTACAGCTCAGTCATCATGAAAACACCCTCTGTTATCTGTGCTGTTTTCAGCACAAATCCAAAACACAGCACCCTGTGGGGTGGGACACCCTTGGGTCACTGGGGTCAGCTGTCCCAGCTCTGTCCCTCCCAGTTCCTCCTTCACCCCACTGCTTCACCCCTTTCACTGCTGGCTGCAAGGAGGAGCAGAAAAGGCCTTGGCTCTGCTCAGTAATAGTGAAAACCCCTCTGTTATCTGTCCTGTGTTCAGCACAAATCCAAAACACAGCACCCTGCAAGCTGCTATGGAARAGTGAGCTCTATCCCAGCCAAAAGCAGTACCTGATCCTTAGAGGGAAATTGCTGTGGTTATAAAATCTGTCTGGTGAGAGTTCCATCTCAGCTGCTGAGGGGGCTGTTTTAAGTAGCTTGCACCTTTTGCCTCTCACACATCTCACTGACTTTTTCTACTGATGATTGTTTTTCCATTTAAATATAATCCTCCTTCGCTGAAGGCAGAGTAGGGCTTCAATGACAACAGGATAGATAATAACCATGTGGGACAGTGCATAGGTGTCAGTTTGTTCCAAAGGCTTCCCAGTTTACATGCCATGATTATCCAATTTACAGATAAACCAGTTCTCTGGAGTAGGCAAGCCATAAACACCTACAGAAGGTGCATCTTTACAAACAGTTTGAACCAGTCCATGTCCATGCAGGGTTCCTTGTCCTGGCACCCCATTCCTGATGTTTAACACCAGCATTTGTGCAGCCATAGGGGTCAGGGAGCTGCTCCAGATGAATTTATTAATTAATCAGTTTGCAGTGGGGTTTCTMTTAGTGTGGGGTTTCTCTCAGACTCATCATCTGCCTGGTCAAGCTGACAGATCTGCATGGGCATGAGCAGAGAGGGACACAGTGAATGAGAATGGAGAGCTCCACTCCTTTCCCAGCAGTGAATGCAGAGTGTTTTAATAAACCTGTTGATTTTCTGACAACAGGGTTGTTTTTTGTTGGKTTTTTTTTTTTGTGAGGCTGTTGCCATATATCTTTTGTAGGCAAATGGTAAATGTTGTCACTTTGAGCCCTAAATGATGCTATTCTAAGAATCTCTCCAAAACCATMCTCACACATTTCCTAGAGTGCTTCMAGCTCRTGYCATGCTCTCASAWKGCTCAGATTGGAAATGTATTTGTGCAAAACAGAATGTGAAGTCAGATTCTCATTGCCCTGTCAGCCAAGAAATTGTGTTGCTTCTTATAGGTGTACAAATATTTAAGCAGTTTAAGAAAAGGTTAGAGACTAAAAGATAAGAAAGCTAATTGTGTTCAGGTAGATGATTTGGAAAATACCTTCATTTATCATCTTGCCAATTAATACATTTTTCTATGCATGTGTTAAATTTCTTCTGTGTGCTTCCTGGTGCACACTGCCTGCCATATTGAGAGCTGTTCAGGACTTGTTTGTTTTTAATCTGATTGTCTATTCTTTTGTTCACAGAATGCTTTTCACCCTATCACAGGATTTAATGGGCTATATATTCATTTAATCTATGACATGATCTGGGTTTTAATAAAAATTTTCACCTCTTTGTCACAGCCTTCCTGAAGTTTGAAATTGGGTTTTCAGCACTTTGTGTTTTGCTCATCAGCTGTTGCCATGAGTTGAGGTTCAGCCTATGRCATCAAAAGCAGAGACCAAGGAAAAAACCAACAAGATTTGGGAGTTCACTCTGTATTTTCCTGTCAACAGCTAATTATTGCACTGTATAGTGCCTGGGTTGTTTCAGGGGCAGAGCTATACTTTTTTATCCCTAAATTACCTACCTTATGTTCATAATTTTTGCAGTGCTACGGGGTGTTTCATTGTTGAAAAACTATTTGTTAGGTGACCTGATAATGATGGCAAGTACAATGCATTGCATTAACTGATCACAGTAAAAACCAAAGATTTGAGTAACCTTAGCAATACTGCATTACTTGCCTACCACTGGCATTAAAAAATTGTTTAAACAGGTAGATTGTTTTAGTAAACTCAAGTACTTTGGGATAGAATGTTCTCCAAAGAAGRAGTAATTTTGTTGCTTTTGGTTGATCTCCTGTTTGATTTTTAAATAACTCCTCTGTATAAAGTAAAGGCTTCTGACACTTGCCTATTGCAAAGCCATTTCTGACAAATTAKGTTATCTTGGAAACAATATTCATAGTCTAATCTCGTAAGAAAAGTGCAAAAAAAAGTGATGGAGCAGCTGCATTTATGAGTAAATACTCAAAAATTCTTGAAACTCAGTGTCCCTTTCTGCAGTATTTCAGGTCCACTGCTGTACTTTGTGGAAAAATTCGAAAGATGTTGTAGAGTGTCCCCTTGCCCTTTGTGTTGAGATGCTGTGAACATCTGAAGAATTATTTGGGACACTACAGTGTCTAAAATAGGATTTTTTGACAGGTGCTAAGGAGAAATGGGATCAGGTTAATCCATRCACCATGTCCACTTAGCAGAGATTGCTCTCGCTGACATTGCTGTCACTGCTGCTGTGCAGGAAGAATACTTTGCTCTCTCATTCTTAATCCAAAGTTAGCTATCCATTTAGTGTAACCCCCACAAATTAAAACATCTCCTCTTCTTGATCCAAATGCAGGAGTGATAGTCCAAAAGTGGAATTAGTGGGCAGTGCAGGATCCAGCACTCTTGAGAAAGACTCCTCTGAAAGAAGCAATGACATCGGTAAGTTCTGCTGCTTTCTACACTTTGCCTAAGAAATTTATGCTGTAAATYTCTGCTTTTTAGTGACTTTATTATGATTTGAGATTGAAAATTTGGCAATGAATGTGAGTGCTTTTRTAGCAGTTTTTAACTGCAATATTAAAGGGTAATTTCTGCTTTACTTAAAATTGTTTTGTTGGGGTTTTCAGTTAAAAAAAATATCAAAAGCAARTATGGAATAGTGAGTTATTTTGAGTAGGAAGGCTCTTAGTTATTTTGAATCAAAATGCTCTTGTTATTTTTGTTTAAAAGTCCAAACAAGTGAGAAGGCCAATGATAATAAGRCATAATTGTTTACCCGGTGTAATGTTAGTGCTGCCATGGTTTTAATACTGCAAAAGATTGTGCCTTTGGTGCAGTTTGTAATCTTTACACTTTCCAATACAAAGGAATGGAAACCCAATTCATGTCAATTTGACTAAATTTTAATGCATACACCAATTAAAAGCAGCCTCAATTTCTGTTGTAAACAACTCTTATTCCTGTCCCACGAACCATTTAATGCAGAAGTCACCTGGACAGGAGCAATAAGAGTTGATTTTTGTGTCTGTTGTCACCTCCCTCCTGGTGGAGCAGTGCTGTTTGCTGGGGTGGCTGTGCAGTGTGTCCGTGGGACTGGGGGGACACTGACAGTGCTGTCATTGCTGTCCTGGGCAGTGGCACCAGAGCCATCTCCTGCCACCTCTGCCCAGTGCCCCTGGCAGCTGCTGCTGCCACTCTGCAGTCACTGCTGT